CTCCAAACAAAAGATTTTTGGTGAGCCGGAAGGTTATTAAAGTAAATAGTGGCGACAGTATCTGTACATGAACCCACCCCCTGGAAAAAAAGAGCAGAAGAATGATATGATTTCAAAGAGAAAACGAATCTCAACATTATTAACACGGAGTGATAATAAAAATGAATAAGCGATAAGCAGCAAGCTCAATCCTATTAACAACTTTGGAGTTGAATTAGAAAAACAAAGACATGTACTGGCTCTTTAGTAAACACAAAAAGGAGATTTAAAACAAAAGTCATGATGAACAGACATTAAATCCAAAACAGTAAACAGAAAACGAACCTTAAAATAAATCTATTTCCATTGGGTCAGAAGATCATCCTTAGCACTTGCTTGCCACATGCTATACTCTGACATTGAGCAGAACAATTTCTCCTCTGAGAGGGTAATGTGTTCAACCTATTCAGAGAGGTTCTTATCATTAATCTTTAATGTATGGACACTATAACAAGTTATTATTCTACTTACCTTCAGAATTGGAGTGACAAACTCAGAGATGAACGGTGGTTTGAGCTTGAGTAAGCAGGGCCAGAAATTGTGGAGCATATTTATTATAAGCCCCTTGATATGCATACCATCGTGGTCCTGAAAACGGTAGAAGTAAATGTTTCATGAAGCATGTAGAATATGATGCTAAGGATGTGAAGTAAAATTACTTACTTGATCAGTCATTATCATTATTTGACCATATTTTAGCGAACTCCTATCTGGGTTCTTCTGTTCCACGTCTAGCCCAAGACAACTCTGGATACATTTAGCTTTCTCACACGTGTTTACTTTGTGTCCCCGTGCATTTCTTATCTTCCCCCAAAGGGCAAGGACGCCATATTTGTCTTGCCCCAACATAGTCCGCCCTAGCATCTGAACATAACACACCATAGTGTTAAAGCATAACACACCATAGTGTTAAAGCATAACACACCATTAAAGCAAATAGAAGGTAGAGCAGATTACAAACACTTACAGCTACTGATTTGGCAGATTCTCCTTCGGTAATTATTAGTGTGCATGACTTGGCATCGTCCGATCCCCTTAATGAAGCATGTACGATGCTATGGCCAACACGTTTTTCTCCCATTTCAGCTAACATAAATAACGAATAACAATAACAAAAAGTTAGGTCACCATATGAATTCTCTCTGCTAAAAAACAGGAACGATCAATAGAAATAGACATTAAGGGCTTCTACTTTATGTTCATAATGATTCACTAGAACCCTAGACTTATACTTTGAATCCAGCAATTACAAATTCACAATCAACAGCGAAGGATTAGTTGGGTAGACCCCAAATCTAGAAATCCCGTAATGGATCCGAAATAGACCTACATTGTAGACCTAGATTGAGAAGTTTAAGAGATTCAGAGAATCTCGATAAAAAACTAGGTCACACTCACCTCGATTCAGAGAGCAAAAGCAGAAGATCGAGCTGGGTTTCGGATCTTCCGCTTAGATGCGGAACAACTCTCTTGACTGACTGACTTAGAGCTAGGGCGTTTCTCCAGAATTTTTCGTTTTGATAAATTCGAGTGGTTTAACTTTAAACTGGTTTACATACATCCAAATAAACGGCGTCAATTCTAACCGATATGGTTATTTTCGTCGATTTGGTTATTGTTTTTTATTTGATTTCATTACATTTGGTTTTTTGACAAGGGTTAATTTGCTGTATAACGAGGAAAAAAATTATAATTAAAAAGTGTCGAAAAGTCCTGCATCTAATGGCCATAATTGTGCCATATATACCATTATGCTTAGTTTTTGGGACAATTACAAAAATACAACTTTTGGTGTGCACATTGCAAGAATGTCAAACTTGAGATTGTTTGGTGGATTTCGTGTTGTTTGGTTGAGTTTTTGTGCAGGATAGCAAGTACTATAAGTAGTTCTCAAAACTATGTTTTGTGTTGATTGTTCTCACAGGTTCTAGTGAAGAAAGATTGTGTTAAAGTTTGTCTCGCAGGATCAAAAGCTGAAAATCTTCTTGAACAAGGCGACATAGTTCTGGCAATCAATAAGATGCGAGTTACATGCTTCAATGACATAGAAGCCGTCTACCAAGATAAGGGTAACCATAGTGTCTAACAATTCTTCGACAGGTGACACCATTAACTTCTGTTTATTGATATATCTTATTGTTTATTTGTTGCTCTATTATCACCTTAGTAAATAATAATACATTTCACTATATGAACAGCACTGAGAAATTGTAGACCAAGAAAATATTTCATTCACATACAAATACAATAATATATAAAAGTTAAATGCTAACAACTTAGATAATATAGATAGAAAATATTTGTTTTCGTTTGCATAATTAGATGATTGACTTTTCAAAATATCATTAACTAATTATAACTAAATTTCGGAAATTTATCCATCATTAATTCTAAATTTTTAAGTAGACAT